CGTCTGTTTTTTCCGTTAATTACAGAGCGCCATATGGCGCCGCAGCGACGAGGTGGACAAGGTGGACGAGGAGGACAAAGCGGAGGAGGGGGAGGAGGAGGGTGTTGTTGTGGTGGATGAGGCGGTAGGAATTGACAGATTGGCGGAAGGGGTGCAACGGGGAGAGAGAGGAGCGAGAGAAGTAGCCCCCTCCTTTGTTGAAAGATTTAATGTCACACTTTCTCGAGGGGATGGGGGATCTCGCAATGGCGGCTGCTCGCTAGCGGGGGAATATCTCGCAATGCGGCTGCTCGGTAGCGGGCGGAGAAAGTGACGTTTTTTTTTTTTTGTTCCTTCTTTGACGACGTCGTTTTCGTTCTTTTCCCTCGTCGTTTTTTGTTCGTTTTCATTGTCGTCGTTGTTTGTCGTTGTTTTGGGGGTGCATCTTTCAATGTTCTCAGCAGCGGCTCGTCCAGCGCCACGACCACGTAATTACCCATACCCACCCTGTTGGCAGAGATCACCCAATTGAAGATGAAATCCTTCCAACCCGAGTTCCCTAGGGTCATAACGATGATGCTATCGTTACCTGCCACTCTCGAGAGGAGCTCCCTCGTGATCAAGAAGCTGTCAACAGGAGGGACCTGGACAGTCTGAACTACCTCCCCCTCCCCTTCCTTCCCCGGCTGCTGCGCCGGTTGCTGCGGCTGCTGCTGCAGCGGCTGGACGGAGCCGCTCTCCACGTGTTTGCTATCTCCACTGCCACTCTGCGCGCCCACGTCGCCATCACGACCTTCCGCCGACTGGCCGGCTGTTCTGCGGAAGAACTTGCTTACGAAGAATCGGGACCCCGACGGACGATCATCCTGTCATTGCGTGCGCTGCTCTCAGCAGAGCATGCGGACGGAAGGCCAGTCGAGTGATCCCACGTGTAGTCGGGATCGGGATTGGGATAGTGCACGTGGAACGCTAGCCAATCAACCTCGCAGGGGACAACGATCGGCGGCGGCCGCCGGGACGGTACGGCGGCTGACGTGTACACACCCCGCCACCAGGACAACTCCGTATCCCTTGTGCAAAATTTGTACACTGCCAGGGCCGACAGAATAAACAAGCTCTCGTACACGAAGACGGCCTTCGTACGGAACTCGCAAATCCTTCCCATCCAACTCAGCTTCTTGACATGGCCGTTATCGTCAATGCCATGATGACTATCGCCATGGCCATGGCCATGGCTTGTTAATCGCTCCAACTCGCGAGATGGACTGTCAATGCTGTTAGAACCATCACACTGGAGCTTGAGGAGCTGGTGGTGTTCGTTGTCAGTTGAGTCTGACCGGCACGGTTCATCAACTGGAGCCAGACTGAGTGCGTCCTCGGCACCACTCCCCCTCTCTTTTTTCTCACCTCTCTTCTCCTCATTCTCACCACTCTCCCGTTCGCTCTCGATGTCCATCTCCGCCAGACAATCACTCTATCCCTCTCGATCACTAAAACTCTGTCTTACCCACTTTCCAAACCTTTCAATGACCCATTCCACCCGTCTCCCTCTATCCATTCTCTCTCTCTCTCTCATCTCTCTCTCTCTCTCTCTCCCTGTCTATCTATCTATCTATCTCACACACACACACACACACACACACATACACACACGCGCGCAGACTCACGCTCTCATCAACAATGTGACAGAGAGGGTCTGTGCCTCACATATCGCAAGTAACATCCCACACAGGGATACAGACGGATGATCGATGTGTCTCAGTCTAACTGTATGCGAGGTACGATGTCATCCAGATGCATAATTAATGGATGACTGTTTTGTTCACACTTTCCAGCGACTGCAAGTCGCGGCATGCTCCAACTGCCAAGCGCTTTATGGGGGGGAACGGTATCATAGGCTTCGCGGTTACCTCCTTTTTTTCAGGCGAACAAAGACGAAAGGTAATGCCAGCTCGCTTTGAAGTGGCGTTAGGCTCAGTGACAATCCTGGCTGCCTGGCCAGAACGAGTTAGAAGAATAGAGTCGACACCACCCACCTTGGCCGGAACAGAGAGGAGCGGAAGTGAATCAGATGTGCTCTCGTTCTTCTGTTGCAGGACCCTTTTTTGTTGAGTTCCTTGTCGGTTTTTCTTCTTCCGGCAGACATTGCCATCTCCTCTCTCCTCTCTCCTCTTTCCTCTCTCCCCTCTTCGTTTCTTTGTGACAAAAGAACGTTGCTCCCGTTATTTGTCCAGTATTTGTGAGAATATTAGCCTCAGTACACTTACAGGATGTGTCAATACTTGAGCAGCAATGTTTTCACGCTTTCGAGTGTTCAACATTCCAACCTCCTCCCTCCTCCTCCGCTCCCTTCTTCTTCCTGCTCTTCCTCTTCTCCTCCTCGTTCCTTTACCCCCCTCTTCTCCTTCCTCCTCTTTATCGTCATGTTCGAACTTCTCAAAACCACCTTCTGCCCAGCCTAACGGTCATTTGTGTGTGTGTTTTTTTTTTTTTTTTTTTTTTTAGCTGATGCTAGGGATGCTGATAGCAGCAGACAGCACTAGCATCCCCGGAGAGGCTCCATCCACCTGCTGGAAACCGGGTCCAGCGTCTGTTGTCCTCTTCTCCCTCTCTGCCTACGGTTTACCGGGCAGCTCTGTTTGAGGTGAGAGAGAGAGAGAGAGAGAGAGAGAGAGAGAGAGAGAGGAGGGAGTCTCTCTCTCTCTCTGTGTCTGTGCATAGCTCACAAAAGAACGAGCCTCAGGTCCTCCGTGCACCCATAGGGGCTTTCTTTTTTGTTTATTCTTCTTCTTTTTTCTTTTTTCAAGGCAGTTCCGCCCCAGAAATTGACCAAAAAAAATGATCCTCAGGGCATACTAACACTAACACTTTCCAGAATGCAGCACACGGATTCACACTGTAATGTTAGCCACACCTGTGTGCATCTGGCCGCGATTCCGTCCGGAAATAAGTGAAAAAGTCCTTGTGTGAGTATGCCCTCAGGTCCTCCGTGCAGCCCCTCGTCTGTTGTCCTCTTCTCCCTCTCTGCCTACGGTTTATCGGGCAGCTCTGTTTGACGAGAGAGAGAGAGAGAGAGAGAGAGAGAGAGAGAGAGACTCCCTTTCTCTCTCTCTCTCTCTGTCTCTCTCTGTGAGTCTGTGTCTGTGTATATCTCACAAAAGAGCGAGCCTCAGGTCCTCCGTGCACCCATAGGGGCTTTTTTTTTTGCTTATTCTTCTTCTTTCTTCTTTTCTTTTTTTTTAAGGCAGTTTCGCCCCGCAAATTGACGAAAAAAAAACGAGCCTTAGGGATCATGACCAGGTACATGAGGATGGACGATCACCCTTGTGAGAATGAAGAAGAAGAAACATAAACAGGAAGAGAAGTGGGAGAGGAGATGAAGGGGGATGTGGGATGTAGCAGGTAGGGTCAGTGAAGACCACCCCGGCGATAGGACGTGGAAATGAGGGAGAAAGAGGATGGCGAGGGGGTGGGAGTGAAGAGAAAATGGAGTAGGCAGGAGACGAGAGAAAGGGGAAATGGGGAAGATGAAGAGGAAAAGAAGGGAGTCAGGGCACATACCTGGCAGCGCTGTTCTGCCTGAGTGCAACGGGTCTACCACTGCAACAATTGTAACAGGCCAGGCACGTTCCATTCTGATGCACTTATCTATCCCCTATAGTGATTGGAGAGGACAAGTGGGGAACATGAGACATGTGCAGGAACGGGAAGGCGACACACAGCACTTCGAATGGCTGCTCATTTTTTCGTACCGGTAGAATCAAAAAGCTCAGACAAGGTAAAWAMAMAAAAAAGAGAGAGAGAGAGAGAGAGAGAGAGAGAGAGAGAGAGAGAGAGAGAGAGAGAGAGAGAGAGAGAGAGAGAGAGAGACTCCSTGGKRGACATTCGTCGAAGTGACTCCCTGGCTCCAATGGTGGTGCAAACCTACATTCTGTATATGTGTACTTGTGGTATGAATAGGTGATCCTGGTGATGATCCTCTCTTGGTCTGTGCTGTGTGGGTGGATTGCCTTCTCAGTGCCGCCTTTCTACTTGCCTTGTCAGTGCTGCCTCACTACCTGGCTGCATATCTGTTTGCGCTGTGACGCTGCCTTTTCTGGTCAGTACCGCTGCCTGGCTGCCGCTGTGCTTCCCTTGTCGTGCCTTGCTGCCTTGCTGCTTGTATTGCCAGGGAGGTCAGTCTACGACGTTGCCTCACTGTATCCTTCATGATCTTCACGTTCTTGGCCTTCAAGTTGTAAACCTCACAAGTTTTCGACCCCCAATCCCGTCCGCCCGTTTTTCTGTTGGCGGCCCACCCCTCCGATCGCCTGTCCCCCTGTTTTTCTGTTAGCGGCCCACCCCTCCAATCGCCCGCCCCCGGGTTCGTACCGAAAGCGGTGAATCGCCCGCCCGCCCGCCCACCCCCCCGCCCACCCACCCACCCACCGGTTCGTGAGTCGGTGTTCTATGTGAATTCGGTACGTGAATTCGGCGCGTGGTGCGTGCTTCAGGCTTCGTCCTTCGCTACTTCRTGGATTCGGTGCTACTTCGTCCTTTGCTTGGAGCATCGTGGGTTTGTGGTGAAATAGAAGCATGGTGCTGCGCGCTTCATGCGACTTGGTGCTCCGCTCTCCGTGCTTAGTGCTTCGGTGCTTCGTACTTTGTGAGTTGGTGCTTCGGTGAATCGGTGCTGCTTGGATCGGTGGCTCGCCCGTGGATCGTGAGTTCCTGCTAAGTGCTCCATCGTGAGCTTCGTCGTGGATTCCTGCTAGAGTGAGTGTTTGTATTTCACCTCGAACCCACACCCCCAGCCCCTTTGGGAAAAAGCATTAAAAAAAACTTACATTCCTTCTCTTTTTTGGTGAGGAGGTAGATAATGGGGGGATGGGGGTCACTGCGGGCAAGCTGGTCAGGCTATTTGGGTGTGTGTGTGTGTGTGTGTGTGTGTGGAGAGAGAGAGAGAGAGAGAGAGAGAGAGGGAGCTGACTCAGTGTGGTGTGTGTAGGGATTGATTGGGGAGGAAGAGTGAAATATGGAAAGAAATATCGATACCCTGAAATACCTGGCGCAGGGCAGTTAATCATAAGGCGCTCCAAAGAGAAAAGACCGAGGGAGAATGTTCAGGAGGAAGATCTTGAGGAGGCAGAAGACGTGGTGGTGGAAGAGAGACAAGGACAAAGGAGGTGCGAGGAAGGAAGAGCGAGAAGTGGAAGTGTGTTAGAAGAATTGCGTTTTTCTCTCTCTCGTGCTTTCCCTCTCTCTCTCCTTCTTGCGCATGTGCAACCGTGTTGAGGTCTTAAAACAAAAGGAGCGATCTTGATAACAAATGGAGCGTTTACGTCCACCGGGTAAAGAAAAAGCAGCACTTCTTAGGTCAGGCGTTACGGAAGAAGGGGGGTCGGTCGAGGGAGGAAGGGGGAGGTGGGAAGTAGTAGGGAGGGAGGAATGGAAGGTGGAGGTCAGGTGGTGATCGGGCTGAGGAAGGAATGGAGGAAGGAGATCCGGGGAAGGAGGAAGTCAGACAGAGATCGCGCGAACGAAGGGGGCGGACGAAGGGGAATGAGGCGGCCAGGCGGGCGGAGGCCAGAGGGGGAGGTTGAAGAGAAGGTGCGGAGGAGGCCAGTAGGCAGGGGAAAGACGGCAGAGAGTAGGGTGGAAGTAGGAGTTCAGGTGGAGATCGGGCAAAGGAAGGAATGGGAGGAAGGAGATTGGGGGAAGGAGGAGGTCAGTGCAAATCGGGCAGAGGAAGGAGGAGGACGGAGGAGATAGAGGGAAGGAGGTCAGGCGGAGATTGGGCGAAGGAAGGGGAGTGAGGTGGCCAGGCAAAGGGAGGGCAGAGGGAGGTTTTAAGAGAAGGTCCAGAGGAGGCCGGGAGAAAAGGGAGGTGGCAGGGGAGGGCAGATGGAAGGAGGAGGGAGGGCAGAGGTTGGGTCGGGTACGGAGCAAGGACAGTAGGACAGGGGGAGGAAAGAATTTGAAGAGGCGCAGAGCGATAGGGCGGTTGGATGTGCGCGCACTCTCGCCGCCGGGCCGTCGACCGCCGGAATGCACCGCAGCGCGCGCGCACTCTCGCCGCCGGGCCGTCGCGAGCGGGAATGCACCGCAGCGCGTGGGCGCTCTTCTTCTGCCTGCGTGTGTTGTCATGTACGCCGTAGACGACTCCCAGGAAAGAGCAGACTGTGCCGGAGTGTCGGGGCGGGCCGGGGCGGGTGAAACGTGGAGGGAGGGAAGGCATCTTGTGAACGTATCGAGGAGGAGGTGCGAGGGAGAAGATCGGGCGGCGGAAGGAGGGTGTAGCGCAGCGGGGGGGAGGCAGGAGGTCGGGTCGGGTCGGGTCAGTCGAAAGGAGGTCTGGCCGAGGTCAGGAGGATTGGGGGAGGAGGTTGGGCGGAGAAAACAAGAAGCATCGAAAGGAAGAAGAATTGAAGAAAAAGAAGAAACATCGAAAAAGAAGAGGAAGAAGATTATCAGCCGATCTTGTATGTATGCCGAGCTCCTC